CTTCCGTTACACCCTGGAGATCAATGCTCAAGCTCGCCAAGCTCTGATCAATGCAGATGGCGTCATCGAGTCTTGCTTCGCTCCTCTCAAGTATGCCATCCAGCTCAGCTCTGCCATTTACGGGCAAAACTGGCGCTTCGACTATGAGGCACTTCCAAAGGACCTAATCAGGCGGTAAGTTAATCTTTCAGCCTTCCTTATATCCTTGTAATGACAAATTAGAAGAAATGAACCGAAGTAACTATCTTCATACTTTATAGTTTGGTAGTGACCATTTTATTGCAAATCTCCTAGTAAAGTCGTTTCAAATAAGCTTTCTGATTCCATTACTGACCTGTTGTTCTTGTGCTTAATTGTCAGTGGAATGGCAGTTGAAGATGCTTCATCCCCACACGGTCTGAAACTAACGATGGAGGACTACCCATATGCTAACGACGGCCTAATCTTTTGGGACGCTTTGAAGCAATGGATCACAGACTACGTCAACCACTACTACCCCGATCCAACCCTCATCACCTCCGACGCAGAGCTCCAAGCCTGGTGGACAGAGATCCGCACCGTTGGCCATGCTGACAAGAAAGACGAGCCCTGGTGGCCATCTCTCAACACACCTTCAGACCTCGTCGAGATCCTCACCACCATAGCATGGGTGGCTTCAGGCCACCACGCTGCTGTCAACTTCGGACAGTACGCGTTCGGAGGGTACACCCCTAACCGTCCGACCATTGCAAGGAAGAACATGCCAGACGAGGATGGAACCGACGAGGAATGGAAGCAGTTCATGGAGAGGCCCGAGACCGTGCTCCTCGAGACGTTCCCCTCGCAGTTCCAGGCGGCCAAGGTGATGGCGGTGCTCGACGTCCTGTCGGGGCATGCTGTGGATGAAGAGTATGTTGGTCAGGTGATGGAGCCCTCGTGGGGCGACGAGCCTTTGATCAAGGCCGCGTTCGAGAAGTTCAGCGGCAGGATGATGGAGTTGGAAGGGGAGATTGATGCGAGGAATGCGAATCCGGAGCTGAAGAACAGGAATGGAGCTGGGGTTTGCCCGTATGAGCTTCTGAAGCCGGTCTCCGAGCCTGGTGTTACTGGTAAAGGTGTGCCCTACAGTATCTCCATTTGAATTCAGCAAGTCCAGCTGCTGCTGGATTTCCCCAAGGTGAAAAATGTTATTGCCATACCTGAAGAATAAGTGGCAGATTGATGATTGCCGGTTAGGGATATGTCTACCGTTGATGTAATAAGGGAAGCTTAGTTTATGCACGCATGATGCGCTAATGGAGTCTCGAAGCATATCGTCGAAATTGTATTAGTGGCTTGAGCAGAGAAGTCAGTAATGATGAGTAAATAATGTTGGGTAAGAAATGGAATGAGAAGTTAAATCTTTTTACTTAAAAGACAAATACTTTGGATTTATGATCAATTAAGTCCCTATATTTCTGGTAGCAATGAATCAAGTCACTCATGAATGGTGTTCGACTCGAGAAAAATTTGTTCGAAACTCGACTTGTCTTAATCGAGTTGGCTTGCGACATGTATTCCCTCCAAGAATCCTACTGCTACCAACTATTCGCCAAGCCACCTGGAAACAGGTAAGTATAACTGATCTCCCATAAACATATATGGAAGGAGAAAGTCTCAAACTCTCCATTGCAAAACGTTTTCCTTTCTGTGACTGTCGTCAATTTTAAGGCACAGTACTATATCTATGTAATGATGTGCAAGTGAATGGTTGATAAGCGTTTATGTATTCCCATTTGCCCTCTTTGTTCAGTAATGGAGTGTGAAATTTGTCGAATTGGTAAGTGTCCAAAAATTCTCCCAAATTTGAGAGCAACATATTGCGGTCCATATCCTTTTTGGTAGAGAGAGCAATAATATCGATATTGTTGGTTAACAACAGCCACAGAGTAAGTACATTCATCATGGTTCATTGACAAATTGGCAAAGGATTCCATTCGTTAATCAATAGTATTTTGATGATGGTATGAAGGGCATGGTAGGATGGTGAATCAATGATTGAATGGAATCGATTCATCAAAAAAAAATAAATAAAAATTGATTGAATGGAATCGGACCTGAATAGACAAAGTTCGGTTTATACGCATCTATATATGCTATTAAATTAATATGAGGATTACTCAATTCAAATATTTCATATTGAATCCCTTGAAAATAACTGATATGTCACACATGCATGATATCTCATATTTCATGATAATAAGGTTTGTCACTCGGATTACATGAGATCACATTATAAGAGAGACTTTATATACGAAACGCTCAGGTGTCAATCCATATCCACTGATTGGTTGTCACCACTAATCACTATGATAAATTTAAGATAATCCAATATAAATTGGACGAATAAGATATTGAACATTAAGATAATTCAAAAAATACAACATGATTTCTTGATGTGTGAGACATTTTACAATGAAACCCAAGTGCCACCACTGATCATAATGATTGATGTAACGTTAACCAACATATTTTGACAAATACTCCATTCTAGGAGATTAGATTCGTCACTAAGATCATTCGAAAATATGGAGTTTCAAGCATTGTGAGTGGCTTTACAAGCAAACCCTGTAACCTAATGTGGATTTTTTGTGGTAACTAATTTCTTGATTGCCAGATTTTATGGCGAGCCACTGGTCAGCGTCACCGAGGGAGGCCCATATGACAAATGACCAACTAAAAGGAAGACAGAGTTTTTAGCCACCAAAAGCCCCTTGTGAAAAGAATTCGGAAAAAGTCCGACCTACCATGGTTTTGAAACTTACCCAAATGACAAAATTTGACAGTTTCTAAACTAAATGCTATACCTACATTCCTCCAATAGTCTCTCTTGTGGCTTCGAAGGTACAATTTGGCATATTTCTAAACTAAATTCGCACAGTAGATTAGACTTGATCAGTATCGAAAAGAATTTGATGAAAATGATACATGTTAGAAAATTCAACATCTCTTCCAAGAGCACGGACGAACAGAGCACAACGAAAGCATGTGCAACAATGCAAGTTGATCGGAGTCTCCTTATCATCTCCTAACACGGTTCATCCTCGTTTAGTTATTCTAGGTAGACTTTGAGTTCAGGATTGGGGTACTTAAAAATTTACCAACATTAAAGCCTGTATATCTAACAAATTTTGAGTTTAACAAGGTCTTTAAAAGAGCTAACATCGACGAGAATATACAATCCTAAACTCGAAAGTTCGTACTAATAAAAGAATATTATTGTGGCCTAAAATTTTGCCAAGTGAAGTCTTAGGACCCCTCACATTTGTTCACTCAGATTGATCTATTCTATTAATATACCTTCACAAAATATTGTCTCGTATCTAATTTGATTATTTGTAAAAAAGAAAAAAGAAAACGGCCAGTATTTAGTGTCTTTTGAATTCTAAGAGAATTTGGAAGGTCTTATACTTCCTGCTGGGGTGGCTATACGGTCCAGTTAAATTGGCCCGAATTGATCCTGTTTTAATCGGGTCTTTTCGGAAATATAAGGATCAAAGACTGGAATATTGGATACAGTCCGATCTTGACCCAGTCCGGTCCCAATTCGGTCTAGATTTTAGATTGAGCTTGTTGGGATTTGAGTGGCCTGAGGACTCAAAGGGTGATGAGTTGGTTAAGTTTTGGGCGTTGGGCTCTCTTATCCGGTCCTTATTAGGTTTTTTATCCGGTCCCAAACGGTTTTTTACCTCAAATCTAAGCTCAAAGATTGAATTGAATTGTTTGCTATCCGGTTCCAATCCAGTCCCGGTCCAGATTATACGGTCCAGTAGTTTTGGGTAAAACCAAATAACCAGCCCTACTTCCTGCCTTCACATGCAACATAATTGAAACTATACATGTGCAAATTACTAATTAAGCTTCCCGTATAATTTGTGAGGCAAACACAGTCGTTGCGAAAAGCTACACCTTCTGCGACGGAAGACGAGTAGTAGTGGTTCTGCTTCTTTTCCTGACAGTACTCTTTCCCACTACATGAAATACGTACTACTGTGCTAGTAGTTAAACAAGCCAAACTTTAGGAATGGCAATAGCTTGAGTTGTTAAGTAATTTGATTCAATTGTCACAATGATATGAGTAATAGATGAAATGCAGATATATTGTTATAATATTTTTTATTATGAATTATTGTTATAATATTTGGGTGGGAATAGAATGAGTTATTTATTTATTTTTATAATGGTTATTTGAGTTTGTTTTTAGTTAGGTGCTACTCAAGTTATTCGAATCTATGATCTTTACCTTGGTCCAAACCCTTGTTCGGATGAGTTTGAATTGTGTCTGATTTGGGTTGGATCCAAAATGTATATTTTTTTTGCTTCAAAATGGAAAGCCGCCATCGATCTAGCGGAAAGACAAATCAGAATTACCAATAAATCCGAGCTTAACCTTGTGACGCTTAGAGTTGCAAACTAATTATCCACACCTTCTCCATACGACATAACCCTAATCCAATCCAGAAAAATGAAAAAAATGTTACATATCAAGTCTAAAATAACGAGATCCTGTAACCTTCCGTCGACGACCGATAATAGCATAAAATTCACTCGTGTGTTAAATGACACTTTGCAGTGTAAGGAAGTGGTTAAGTACCATACATGGGCCTGTATAAGATCCAGCATAACCTTCTCCCAACAACTCGAGTTATTGGGACCAACTGGTTGTTGACATGCCGCAATTCCAACATGCTTAAATTTCAATCTTTACGAGACTCTTCTTCTCTTCCCCACCACTATATGGCACACGTAAAAAGTAGTTAAACAAAACCAAGTCATATGATCTTTCTTGTCTTTCTCTCCACCCTTTCGACATCCTCAGATAGTCTCAGATACCATACATGTTACACATATCTTATCATATATACCTCAGCAACTCCGAGTAGCTCTCCCACACCCACACAAACTCAATCGTTTTGCTTCGAAACGAGTAGAAACCAAACAAAACAAAACAAAACATACTAAGAAAAGAATCAAACACAATAATGCTGAAGCAAAACCTCCACAACCAAATTTGCTCTCAGCTGCCAAAGCCGTTCGTCCATGGAAGCAACGACCGCCATGCTTATAGTAACCATTCCCTTCTTTCCATGGCCAAGGCCAGGCCCAAAGCTTCTCACTACGCTAGAGCCCGACGTCGTTGTTGTAGGGCTGTCAGTGATGTGGATGCCGGAGCTATAGCCGATTATCTCAAACACGAGAAGTGCTACACGAAAGTGAGAGCCGTGGTGACTGTGGAGGAAAGCATTGTCGAGATGCTGACGAGCAATGGGATTCTGCGAGGGCTCGATTATGTTCTGGGGAAAGGCCTTCTCTTGGAGCTTGTCAGCGCGGAATTGGATCCTAGTAAGTTTGTTCTCTTCCTCGGCGAACAAAGGGCTTGGTTTAATGATAATATTTTTAGTTTGAGGTTTCAGATACGGATCTTGTAAGTAGCCCTTTATTTAAATACATTGATATAATTTTTGGGTTAGGTTGAGTTCGAATTGGTATGATTTGGGACAACTCATTTTGAATTGGATTCAAATGATTTTATTTGATTCCAAATGGAAAATGCCATCGAAACCATTCTAGCAGATAATGACAAACTTAACCTTAAATATGACGAGTAGATATGCAACCTAGCTAGTTATTAACATCTCCATCGATCACATATCCAGCTTCAATTTTGAGTCTTGGGTATATATGAATCAACTTCAGAGTCAATATTACCAAAACTGATTTGACCACCAATTAATTAGATTTGGGCAATACCCAAATTATGGATGTTCATTAGAATTACTTGCAAGTTGTTAAAAAAAAGTTCAGAAAGAATTCTTATATGATTTCCTTTCACGTTTTTTTTTTAAAATTCAAAATTCATCTATCAAAATTGAAACACTCATCTAAAATTATAGCCTTATTTCAGCTCAATAATATCATATACATATATGAATGTCGTACTAACGGAAAATATCTGTATTCGCGAGCACTCTCAAATTCACTCGTGCCGAAGCAAATTTCAACATGCTTTTCTTCTCCCCGGGACTCTTCCGCCACTACATTCACATGCCTTTCTTTCTTTCTTTCTATCCACCATTTCTACATCTATATATACCATACACATTACACAACTTATCTTTATATACTTCAACAACGCAGTAGTTCGATCTCCCCACACCCACGAAACGAGAGACACAAAAAAAACCAAGTAAGGAATCAAAAAACACCATGCTGAAGCAAAACCTCCTCAACCAAATTTGCTCCCTGCCCAAGCCGCCCTTCGTCCATGGAAGCAACAACACCCATGCTTACCACCATTCCCTCCTCTCCATGGCCAACAACATACCCAAAACCACTCACAACGCAAGAGCCCGTCGACGACTACGACGTCGTTGCATGGCTACGGCCAGTGACACGGCGCCGACGACGTCGTCGACGACCAACGATGCTAGCGCCATGGCCGATTACCTCATGCACGAGAAGCCCATCAAAGTGAAGGCACTGGTGACCGTGAAGCAAACCATGAGCGACATGTTCTCCGGCATGGGGATCGAGCGAGGAATGGATGACATCAAAGACCTTCTCGGCAAAACCCTCCTCTTGGAGCTTGTTAGCTCCGAGTTGGACCCTAGTAAGCCACCTCTCTCTTCACGAACTATACCTCGTTTCTCGTCGGTAGAACGCGCTAGTTGTCCGCTCCGCCCTCTCTGAAACCCTAGTAACCGGAAAAATGGTAATTAACCATGTGTTAGTCAGTAACGACGAAACCAGAAATCTAAACGAGTGGAACAACAAATTCACCTCAGAAAATTTGAGTTGACGACGAGAAAATTATAGTCTTACAAACTACTATATTTCCCAAATTTATTACAGTGTTTTACATAATTTTCTTAGGGTTATGAGGAACTATAGTCTCCCCTGTGGCGGAGTTAGTGTTTGAACAGTGGTAACGTTTGTTTGTGTGTGAAGAGACGGAGCTGGAGAAGCCGACGGTGCAGGCGTACGCGCACAAGGGCGGGAAGGTGGAGCGGCGGGAGGTGAGGTACGAGGCGGAGTTCGAGGTGCCGGCGGAGTTCGGGGCGGTGGGAGCCATCTTCGTGGAGAACGAGCACCACAAGGAGATGTTCCTGAGGCACATAGTTTTGGAAGGTTTCCCAAATGGTCCCGTAAATTTCACTTGCGACTCTTGGATCCACTCCAAGTTCGCCGATAAGCGCAAGAGGGTTTTCTTCAACAGCAAGGTTAGTATAACTAATTCATATCTCGTTAAACACTAATTAAATGGTTGTTTCGCAGAGTAATTAAGTTTTATTATCGTTAATCGGGGATGTGGTGGGTTTATGGATAGAGCTTTTGCATCGATGAAAGGCCGCAAATCTTTTGGTGATATATTACAGACCTGTCTCTTACACTGTTCTCCACCTTATAATCTTGGGATAAAATCTGTACGTTCGTTCAGCATGGCCACCATCATTGTACTGGTGGTCCTGAAAAATTAACGTGATATGTTAATTAGCTGAATACTATCATCACAATATATTACTCACGTAGATATCACTTCACTAGCTAGTCGCCCACAGTGATAAATAGTTCATAATGGATTTTCTTTCAATATTGGAATCTATCTGTATATGGGCATATGATATTAGAGTTGATTTGACAAAGTGATCGTGTCGTTTGGTTGGATTTTCACGACCCACAATATTAATAGCTGATTAAAATCCAGGATACGGTGGGTCTGTGCAAAACTTCAATCTCGTGAGTTGGCTTTCATTAGGGAGGGAGAGTGTGAGGGAGTGATATATGATATATAATATAATGGACCTGTTGCTAACAATTCGAACTATTGAGAACACCTGGCTAATGTCGAATTAAGTTATAGTAAGTCATGATATAGTGTCACGAAGTAATGATATAAGTACGACAACGAGATGGAATTTCTCTTGAGAGGTCGCCATGATTCGAGCTCACAATTTTGTATCATTACGGAGTGTGAGAGAGTGATATATGATATATAATTAACATGTTCTCAACAATTCGAATTATTGGGATCAACTGGTTAGTGACAAATTAAGTTACAGTAAGTCATGATAGAGTGTCACCACTAAGTACTTATATAAGTACCACAAAGAGAGGGACTTTCTCTTGAGAGGTCAAAGATTTTCGAGCTCACAATTTCATATAATCACGGTGTATAGTGGAGCTGATTTGTAGTCGAAAATATCCCCTTTCAATTTACAATTTAGACGAAAGGCCTCAAATCGTCAAACGGGATGTGGGTTGTGGTATACTAGCACTTATGGATAGAGGATGTGCATCGATCAAAGGCTTCAAATCTTTTTTGTGATATTGCCTTTCTCACTTGGTTCTCCACCTTATAATCTTGGAACAAAAATCTATACATTCTTCAAACGCAAAAGATACGTATTGGCCGCCATCATTGTACTGGTGGTCCTAAAAAAATTAACGTTATATGTTTTGCATGGGACGAACTATCCATCAATTTCAAATTACCGTAGGTTGGTTTGCGACCTAGTAGAGTCGTGCCCACTAAACCATGACTGTGACCTAATGGACCGAAAACTGATGGGCCTGCCCGCCCGCTCGCTTTGTCATTTTACAGTCCTACTTGCCCCAGACCACGCCAGCTGGGCTCGTGGGCCTGCGGGACGAAGAGCTGGTCCATTTGCGTGGAAATGGGCTCGGCGAGCGACAGCACGGCGATCGGGTCTACGACTACGATGTCTACAACGACCTCGGCGATCCTGACGCGAACTTTGCGCTCGCCCGGCCGACCCTCGGCGGCAAGGAGTTCCCCGCTCCAAGACGGTGCCGTACCGGCCGCCCCCGTTGTGAAGCCGGTAAGAGCTAATTACCTAGGTTGTAGTATTATTATATAAATAGATCATAATTTGATTTTGGCGGGTGAAATGAAATGGAAACGCTGCAGATCCGTCGACGGAGAAGAAGGCGAGGGATTTCTACGTCCCGCGGGACGAGGAGTTCTCGGAGGTGAAGCTCGTGACGTTCTCGGCCAAGACGCTCTACTCGTTGTTCAACACGCTGATCCCGTCGCTGGGGAACGTGTTCGCCGACGCCGATCGTGGGTTCCATCACTTCAAGACCATCGATTCGCTATTCAGCGTTGGGTTCGAAGTGCCGGAGCTCTCTAAAGAAGGGTTCTGGAACGCCACCCTGCCTCGCCTCTTCGCCGGGACCGGAAACGTCATGCGGTTCGAGCCCCCGGGCGCTTTGGAAAGTAAGGGCTCGATCGGGGGGAAGAAAGTTGTTGTTTGCAGTTCAAGTGTTCGACGATTTGTCTGAATGAGCTTGGCCCTTTTTTTTTTGCAGGGGATAAGTTTTTCTGGATGAAGGATGAGGAGTTTGCGAGGCAGACGCTTGCTGGTCTCAACCCATATTGTTTGGAATTGATCACGGTGTGTAACCAGACAGAGCCTGTCGTTCACCATTTATGACTTGAAAGTGATTAGTGAACTCTGGCTTGAAGGTTTTTGCTTGAATGTTGTGCAGGAGTGGCCATTGAAGAGCAAGCTTGACCCCAAAATCTATGGTCCGCCGGAATCAGCAATCACCACTGAACTCATCGAGTCAGAAATTGGAGGGATTATGTCGGTTAAAGAGGTAAAGAGACAACATACCCAATAACCAAAATTTGAGGCTTGAGGTTCAGAAAGTGAAGATTTTTTCTCTTTTTTTTTTCTTCTCCCGCAGGCAATTAAACAGAAGAAGCTGTTCACCCTGGATTATCACGACATCCTGTTGCCATTTGTGCACAGAGTCCGGGAACTCAAGGGCAGGACTTTATACGGGTCGAGGACCATCTTCTTTCTCACTCCCGAAGGCACATTGAGGCCTCTGGCCATCGAGCTCTGTCGCCCTCCCACGAACGAGAAGCCTGCGTGGAAACAAGTGTATAGACCGTGCTGGAATTCCACAGGTTGCTGGCTCTGGAAGCTAGCCAAGGCACATGTTCTTGCTCACGATTCTGGCATTCACCAACTCGTTAGCCATTGGTATGTCTGATCTTGCATTTGTTGTATGAAAACAGATTTCATTTCGTACAAAGGAGATGAAGAACCTTACAAGTGCATTGCATTCTCATGTTTTTTTTCTTTCTGCAGGCTAAGAACACATTGTGCGACTGAACCATACATTATAGCGACAAATCGGCAGCTTAGTGTGATGCATCCCATTCACAGATTACTTCATCCTCACTTCAGATACACAATGGAGATCAACTCCCTCGCTCGAGAATCACTCATCAATGCAGGCGGTATCATTGAATCAACATTTTCACCTGGGAAATACTCCTTAGATATCTGCTCAGCTGCATACGATCAGTTCTGGAGATTCGACTACGAAGCGCTACCTAAAGACCTCATACGCAGGTAACTTGCTACTTTTATTACCAACCTTCCATGTTTCACATTCACAAAGACGTTCATGAACATCATCCCCTTGTTTGGTCATTTCATTTGATTTCAGGGGAATGGCAGTCGAAGATGAAAACGCACCCCACGGCCTGAAACTCACCATAGAGGACTACCCTTTCGCAAACGATGGCCTCATTCTATGGGACACAATCAAACAGTGGGTCACCGACTACGTCACTCACTACTACCCAGAGCCAGACCTCGTCGAGGCCGACCCAGAGCTCCAAGCATGGTGGACAGAGATACGAACCAAGGGCCACGCAGACAAGAAGAACGAACCATGGTGGCCACAGCTCAAGACCTCCAACGACCTCATCGAAATCCTCACCATCATAATGTGGGTGACTTCAGGCCACCACGCCTCGGTGAACTTCGGACAGTATGCATTCGCAGGTTACTTCCCCAACAGGCCAACCATAACCAGAATCAAGATGCCGGACGAGGACCCAACCGAAGAAGAATGGAAGTTCTTCCTGAAAAGGCCCGAAGCCGTGCTTCTAGCTACCTTCCCTTCGAAGCTGCAGGCCACGAGAGTGATGGCCGTGCTGAACGTGCTGTCGAATCATTCCCCCGATGAGGAGTACATCGGAGACGAGATAGAGTGGAGCTGGAGCGATGAGCCGTTGATAAAGGCGGCTTTTGAGAAGTTTAGTGGGAGGCTGAAGGTGTTGGAAGGTATTATTGATGAGAGGAATGCTAATGAAGAGCTGAAGAATAGGAGTGGAGCTGGGGTTTTGCCTTATGAGCTTTTGAAGCCTCATTCTAAGCCTGGAGTTACAGGACAGGGAGTTCCCAACAGCATCTCCATCTGATTTCTTCTTCTTCTTGTGTACCAATTTATTAGCACATCAAGCAATATAGAATAGTATAGAACATAAATCATTGGGTATTGAAGAATAACGTATCTAAAATGCTCAAGGTCACACGAAACAACTCGATTAAAGGTGTCGGAGACAACTTCTTGATCTGGTGGTCGTAACAATTGAGCTCGGGTATTTGCAAATATCACATTTCATTTGGTATTTGGTTATGGAAGGCAAACTTCTGAGACCCAAATATCAAATCAAGTAAATCCATGGTAAAAGATCAATTAAACAAACAATGTTATCTTTCAAGGTAATGACTGGTATACTTCAGGAGTATAGTGTACTCTAGGGGATCTGGCCGTTAGATGTACTTTGATAGGTTCCGATCAATCTCATCGGTCAAATATTATTTTCTATTAAATTGAACTTCGGGATTGAGTTTAGAGAATCGGGGCTTGGGGTTTATCCATTGGAGGTTAGAGTACTTAAAATCAAGGTTCTAAAAGGCGCTAGGTGTAAGGCAGGCGCTCGGCTCCTAACTTGCGCCTTGCCTGATTAGGCGTAGCCTAGGCGTTCAGAGCATAAATGGAAAAAGTTCTCAAATATTTTCTGTTTTCTGGAATAATTCATATAATCCAAGTGCATATAAAATTAGCAATGCCTAGTTCTTAACAGTAAACACTTAACATAAGAAATAACAAGCAAATAGTGACCACTTCCTAGAATCACAAGTTCATAAAATGTCGAAATACTAAACAATAGTCAATAAGTTCATAGGAAAATGTTCATTCTTCATCATCCAAGTAGGTCCGTCCAGCCACCACTTCATCTTCATCATCCTCAAAAGCAATCTCCTCACCATCCTCCTCCTCTTCCTCCTCTTCAGACTCTAATTCTTCATCATGGAGTTCTCTCACTCGTGCACTCCTGCGAAGCTCACTCTGTTCACCCGCCATTGCATCTGTAATAGTACTCGAGGGTGCACAATATGATTCCTCATCCTCATCTACGAGTACATACATAGCATGGTCATCCCCTTCCTGTGTTCCTGATTTTCTAGGGCAAGAGACAATTTTCTGATTTTCTAGGACAAAACGAAGAGTATTGGGTTTAACCGCCTAAGCTCGCCCAGGAACGCCCAGGCACGCCTTCTCTCCACTAGATGCAAACTAAGCGTTATTCCTACCTACTAAGCGCTACCAACACCTTTCACAACGCCTATGCCCAAGTCAAGGCGATCCTCCACCGCCTAGCGCCTAATTGAGCCTAGGCGTGCGCCTTCTTGAACCCTGCCTAAAATATAGTATACTACAGGAGTACACCAATCTAACCCTATCTTTCAAATACAAAATGCAACAAATCCATCATAGATCCACCCACATATAATTTTACACAATCCCAAGTAAATTCGTTGATTATGGGTAGGGTATGGGTATGGGCAATGGTGAGTTGGGAGTCGAAAATACTTGTCTCTTCTTTTCAGAATATAAACTGATCAATAACTCATAATTTAATAAAAATAATTACAACAAATAATATCCAAATAATAAAGATAATAATGAAATAAACAACTAATACAATTATTGTTTTCATAGACAACACAACGCGTATTCATATTATGAAAGAAGCAGAGGTTGTTATGAAATGGATCGGCTAATACATTCATAGATAATAAAAAAATAATCAACTAATACAATCATTGCAACATGGAAGGAAAACGAAGGAATTATTTCCTTTGGTTGCTGACGTGTGGAATAAGGATCAAAAGTTTCTTCCATCCCTGCAGGAGCTTACTGACAAGTTAAGAAGATAGATTAAAGAAGCCTTTGGCGACATTTTTAAAAGAAAGAAGAAACTGCTAAACAAGCTGGAGTATTGGAGTGGAGGAATGAAAGGGACCCGAACAATCAATCACTCCAAGCTAAACAAGGAATTAGGGAGGAACAAGAAGAAACTCTGTGGCTAGAGGAACTCTGACTACAAAAGTTAAGAGTGAATGGGATCACACTGGGAGATCAAAACATATGCTTCTTCCACACTAGTACTCTAACCAGAAGGAAGAGAAATAAGATTAAGAGCCTCAAAATGACATTGATCAATGGATTACAGATCTAAAAACACTCCAAAGAATGGCGCGAGAGTTCTTCATCAAGCTCTTCTCTAAAGAAGACCATATGGACATAATTGAAGTGGCTGCAAAATTCCTTGACATTGGCATTGATGAAGTTGCACTTAGGAATATTGGAATACCAATTCTTATGTTGTAAGTGCAAACCTTTGTCACTATAATGAATGAGATAACCCTTCTCATGTTGATTCCCAAAGTAGAAGCACCTACCTCAATGAGCCAATTCTAGCCGATAAGCCTTTAAATTTGATTATAAAGTTATTGCAGCGTGCCTTATTGAGAGACTCAAACCCCTCATAAACCTTCTTATCAAACCTAACCAGTAAATCTTTGTACCTAACAAAAACATCACTGATAACATCTTGACCTTGCGAGAAACAGTTCAATCCATGTCAAGGAAGAATGGAGACTAAAAATTGATTTAGCCAAGACATATGATTGACTTGATTGAAACTTTATGGAAGAAACCCTCAAAGCTAAAGTAATCCAGGATGATGGAGTTTGAATGATCATGACTTTTGTCACAACGACTGAACTGCAAGTCCTTTGCAGTGGAGGAGAAACAAAGGTCTCAGACAAGGATGTCCTCTGTCACTCTATATCTTCACTTTATGAATTGAAAGTTTGGGTCATTGTATCGATAACGAAGTTAGGTAAGGGAGATGGAAACCCATTAGACTATCAAAAGGATGGACTTGATTAGTCTTACCTTTTCTTTGTTGATGAACTAGTCATTTTTGTTATGCTAGCCTAAGACAAGCAGAGGTTGTTATGGAATACATCGAAAAAATCTATTCTGCCATGTCTTTCATTTTGGTATACATCCTATCGATGTGTATGACCCGAGGCTTAGCTAATAGATCTCTTTGATGTAATGAGTATAACCCAATAATGTTTGATGTCTAATACAAATTAAGACGCCATCGGTGTATCTCTTTCAAAAAAAAGTATATGATATTGTATAATATTGATATTAATTGTGAAATTGTAACTGCACCCAAATACATCAATAATCTTGATGAAAAACAATGCATTTCTTCAATGCATAAAATTGCGAATTTCACCCTCCCAGTTACACCCAATTAAACCTACTTCTACTTAACATGAAAGCTTACTAAGTTAGAAAAAAGGAAGATTGTCTCTTAATGCCATTAGAACCTGCAACAACTTTGATTAAAGGATAAAAGAACAAAGATATGAGAAACAAGGATAGTTTCTAGGTTTGGATAAAATTAGGGGTTTTGGTGGATGATGAACACTATTGGGATAAGAAACCTTTGAACCACTTGGCGGATTGTTTGGGATATCGAGCAAGCCCATTCTTGAAGTCCACATAAAATAGTCCAAATCGAGTAGTGTATCCACTTGTCCATTCGTAATTGTCCAGCAATGACCAAGCAAAATAGCCCTTTACGTTAACTCCATCACTGCCAAATGAAAAGCCCAATATAAGTTAATTAGGGGTTGATGAATGGAATTTTATATAACACACTCGTACATAGAGTGTGCAACTGTCTGGTTCGGTGGACCAAACCACATTGAATCGATTTGGTTTGGTATGGTCCGGACAGACTAACCTATTGCACATCCCTAATAAATATTGAAGAAAAATGGACTGAATTGACATTTGAACCGAACCAAACCAAACTGAAAAAATTCATTGTTGGTCTGATCATTGGTTCTATGCCGTCTTTCACTATTGGATTGTGGTTCTCATGACTTTGGACAGGACCTTTGCACACCTTGCTCATACTCATTTTTTAAAATGTGCTTTTAATATTTTTAAAATATGAATGCATGTATTGTTAGAATTTAGTGTTTGATTTATTATAATTTAGCGTTAGATAAGTGAAATTTTAAAATACTTCCACCAACCAATGAAAAAAGTGCGTGATTTCAATTTTCGTCAATTTGACCATGCTGATCCATCCTAAAACAGTTTTATATTTCCAATTATATAATAATGAACAACAAAACATGTGCATTTATGCCAAAAATCGTTTGCTATTTGCTTGTTACTTTTAATTATGTATCAAGACTTTCTGGTATGCACACAAAATCAATGGTTTAGGAAAGTTACCGGATCGCTTTCTGGAGGTAATACAGATGCCGGCGGTGATAACGGATCCTCATTTTGTCTTGGAGAGCTTCGGCCGGCGGTAGCACCTGGTCGTTATTGAGCTCATCAATCCCTGGTATCAAGAATACAGACATAATAACGGTCTTTATGTTAAAACCAAAATGTCGTCGCTATTAACAGGCACTCATTAGCGACGAGATCGAGGGTTTCAGTTCCATAGATTCCCTATACCATTTTCTGTAATGTAAATGACTGGATCGTTGTACTTGCGCTTTATGTACGATAAAATATCATATATTCCTTTGGGATACACATTTAGCCAACTCGAAGCTCCCTGCAATTAACAGGAAACTGAATTATTTCACATTACATAATGAGACGACCAAAATAATTTAGTTATACTCACTTTTGGTCCAATTGAGACTCCATTACGGTTATCTGCCAGAAAGAAAAAAACGAAATTAATTTCATCAACTAATTATTGTTCATCGGATGTGTAGTAAACTGTTAATAGTGTAATAAAGCAACTGGTCTAAATAATGAGTGAAATTAATTTCATCAACTAATTGTTCATCGGATGTGTAGTAAACTGTTAATAGTGTAATAAAGCAACTGGTCTAAATAATGAGTGAAGATTAATTATGAATCTTATATAATTTTTTATACGTCATTTTTTATGAAAATCAACTTATAAATTTGAAGTAGACACAAATCCACCATATCATGAGCTCAGTCACGTAGCCAGACTTTAAACAAAATGTGGTTCTTAAAAAATTAATAACAATAAAATCTATGTATCTAATGAGCATTGAGTTGACTGGAGTCCTTAGAAACAACAAGTATAACGGTGAATATGTATGGGGTCCTATATTTGCATAATCATTCTCAAGTTTATTTATCTAAAGAATTTCCCCCCAAAATTTTCCAAGTGGGGTCCTCGGGCCCCTCTCCTCTTGCTTTCCCTCCGCCACTGCATGCGCTTAAGTCAAATGTTAATATTGATTGTCGGGGAAATTGAATACACACTTATTTGGGAAAACCAGACTCTGATAATATGTAAAAACCTGTTTGGTCCAATTATTCGAGTTATTGGGACCAATTGGTTCTTGACATGATATCAGAGCTTGCCTGACTGTGATATCTCGTGTTTAAGTTCTCACTTTTCACAACTCGTCATATTAATCGTTGATTTAAACACGTGGTATGTATATGACAAGCATGTGCAATCCCATGATTTGACTTTGAGGGGCATGCAAGAAGTAATATAAGATCCTCACATGAACCTTCTCCTAATAGTTCGAGTTATTGAAACCAAATATAGTTTACGAGAAATCATACTCGATGGATATATAGATATACCTGTTGTGTTAAGAAGTGAATCGGTCATGTAACTCCGGGGTGCGAAGCCAAACAGAGGCGTATCGACTGCATAAGAAGCCGTGTAATAGTTCATCCCGATGAAATCGAACGACCCTCTGATCTTCTCCGATTCTTGTGTCGTGAACTCGGGCAGCCTCTTGCCGACGAGAGTCCTCATCGATTGCGGATAAGAACCGCTCGTCAGGGGTTCGAAAAACCAGCCCAAACTGAAATCAAGAGATCTAGCTTGTGCATTCCTATTCTCAGTGGAGTTAGTGTAGGGAATTACCCATGGAGACACCAGTGTGATCCCTATCTGACCCTTCTGCCTTGCCTGAACCATTCACCAAAGCAAAAAAAAGACAAATTAATCTCAAATGATTAAGAGAGTATTCATGAGTACATTTCATTAATAATTGGGTTAATACCCTAGTTTGGCCCGAAGTTTGGCATTAGTGGCAGTTCTGGCCTTATGTTTCAAATAAGACATTTATAGCCTACTTTTGAAACTATTGGACTAATTTGGCCCAAAATTTTCTTTGACCGTTAATATTAACGGTCAAACACTATTCCGTTAGTGACTCAACACAAAATCGCTGATGTGGCATGCCACGTCATTAAATAATAATATTTTAATTTTATATTCAATTAAAATAAAAATTAAGAAATTCCAAACCTCCAAACCCTAAACTGAATTAAACATCCTCATGGAATCCCATTTTAAATTTGTCTCCACCTTCAGATCGGAAACCCATTTTCTTCCTAACTATATTAAGAATTTGTCTCGTTCACCTTCAGATCAGAATGAAACATCCTCGTGGAAGTCCATTTTCAAAAATGACGACTCAAACGCTCACCGAACTGCTAAGCGCGTCGCCCATGAGTTCCCCGACCGCCACGCCCCGTCCCATCTGTTTCCGGCAAACTCGATCTCAGTATCTCACCCACGCTCGCCTCAATAAACTCGTGGAACGCGTTGCCTCTCGCCTCGCCGCGGTCGGCATCGTGGTCGCGCTCACTTTCACCAACACCGTGATTCGAGTCAGAGCAACAGCGGCGCCGCTCAACGCCGCCTGCACGGCGGAGGAATTTGAGTTCTACCTATCGGACTCGGAATCCAAGCGATTGCTCACTTTGTGCGAGGGAAACACGGCGGCCGAATCCGCCGCTTCGAAGCTCCAAATTCTCCACGCCACTGCAGCTCTCTCCGCAGAAGATTCTAAGCTCGCGCTCTCTCTTCCTCCTCCGTCTGCGTCAAGAGCCAGCTCGCCGGACCGAAGTAGCAGGAGGGAGGCGCCTCCGGTTGACGATGATGTGTGATTCAGTTTAGGGTTTGGATTTGGGGCCAAGGGATTTTAGGATGATAACAGGGGAATTGGAATTTCTTGATTTTTATTTTAAATTAAAATAATATTACTTAATGATGTGGCATGCCACATCAGCGATTTTTTGCTGAGTCACTAACGGAATAGTGTTTAACCGTTAATATTAACGGTCAAAGAAAATTTTGGGCCAAATTCGTCTAATAGTTTCAAAAGTAGGCCATGAATGTCTTATTTGAAAAATGGGGCCAGAACTGTCACTTACTTCAAACTTCGGGCCAAACTAGGGTATTAACCCTTAATAATTCGAGTTATTGTGGGACCATGACATGATACCAGAGCAGATTTGACCAAGCGGTTGTGGGTTTGAATTTTCATAATTCTTAATACTAATAGTTGATTTAAGCAAAAGGTATAGTGGATATGTGCAAATTTCAAATTCGTGAGTTGACTTTCATTTGTGGGAGTGTGTAAGAAAGTAAGATCTATAATTAATTTTCTCTCAACAACTCGAATTATCGAGAGCCGTTCGTTTATGATAAACATCTAGCTACCCTATTTCTGAAAAATGAATCAATCAAAAACTAGTATGAAGAGGAGAAAAACCTGATATTTCTGCTTGTACAAATCGACGGCGGCGGAATGAGAGAGGAGGATGTGGTGGCCGACGATGTAAGGCTCAGTTGACGAGTCTCCGCCAGTGCAGTTCATGGGCACCCAACTGGAGCACCTCCCCGGTGCAAGATAGCCATACGCATACCCTGCGGCGCTGTAGCTCAGTGGCTCGTTGATTGTGATCCAGTTCTTCACCTTGTCCCCAAACTCCTTGAACAATACTTCCGCATAGTCCCGAAAATCACTCCTGCCAAAAGGTTACCAAGTGAAACGGAGCATAGAAGATCTGATATCAACTCGAGTTATTGTGACGATTTGACTTGATATTAAGGCCTGATCGGAATATGGTTTTACTTACACGACACGAGGGTTAAGGAAACCCTTGTACTCTGCTTCCAGAGCTTGAGGGAGATCCCAGTGAAAGATAGTCACGAAGGGCTGGATCCCATTTGTGAGGAGTTCGTCGATGAGATTGTTGTAATACTTCACTCCTTCTTTGTTCACTCCTCCACTCAACTTTCCATCTGATGAATCAACATATACAGTGCATTTTATTGTGCATTCGTTGTTGGTTCGAATCTTGATCTCAACATAACATAAATATGAGGAATTTTTTTTTGCGAGACATGCAACTGACTTACTGGGTAAAATTCTTGACCATGATATCGATATTCGGTATGCTTCAAAACCCAAATCCTTCAGGATCTTAACGTCTTCCTTGTAACGGTGATAAGAATCCGTTGCCACATCTCCATTGCTATGGTCGACTATCTTATTTGCGAATTGATGAGCGTAATTGTCCCAGATGCTTGGAGTTCTGCCACCTTCATTCGCCGCACCTTCATACTGGCAACAAACAACACATGAATTAGTGACGAACAAATTACTCAAACCGTGACCATTTCCTACAATCAATTTGAATGAAATGTTTTTAATTAGTAGTCATTGGTAAAGAAATAAAAGCGATTATCTCGTCTTATATATAGTTCATAGGTGATCATTTTTTCCTTCGCAAGTTTTCTCGTCTTGTAATTTAACTACGAGTAACACATTTCCGGTAAATTTACGGACGCATTTGGACACCATTTTTAAGGACGATCCTGCCTCTAGTTTATATCACTAGTAAAGATTCTTTAAACAAAATGATGATCTTCTTCGATGTGGAAAACAACAACGGCCCAACTCGGCGTTTCCCTAATTATAACCCTTTTTCCCCCCGACAAAGATCTTTGTAGTAATGAGTTTCAGCGACGGTTTTTTTTGTCGTGCCTTTAGTGACCAACTCTCGTCCTTAAAAGTTCAAAACCTCCGATCTTCAGATATAGTGACGACTATCCAAAGTACCTGGTATGCCGAGGAAGCCGTGCCGAATATGAAACCGGCAGGGAAGCTCCTTCTGTTGAGGGAAGAAGCTCTGCTACTAGTAGTACCATTGATCGCAGTAGTATCGCGGGCAGAGCGATTGATCATAACTCGAGCTCCATCGATAACTATTAGCGACGAAAATACGAGCAGGCAGCAGCTGATCATGAACAGAGCCATGACACTTAGAATTGACAAATCTTTTTGAGTTTGTAGAAACCTCCCTGCCGATTTGTCCAGAGGAAATGGTACCTACTATTGGTTTATATAGAAGAAGTAATTGAATGAAACCATCAAAACAAAGGTGTGAATATTAATTACTAGCACGAATCTTTTTGGCTGCCTCGGTCTCTGTTTTTAGGGATTCCGTAGTCTTTTAATTTGTAGTGGTTTCTTTGGCGGCACCTTTATTAGGGTTTAGTGTTTCACTTTAACTCGCTTTCTGTTTGCCGTGATAGAAGAATCTTTCTGATGAGAGTCACGAGACGGTGGAAATGCCTTGGTCGAGTTTTGGGTTAATTTCCTGTTAATTTCTCGCATTTGTTTTGCTCTGGAAATGGGATGATGCTCCAATAAAAAAAAAATACAGTAAATGAATAAAATAAATGTCAGTTTGTTGGAGCCTTGGATATGGATGGTATCAAGGGTGACAGGAGTTTAATAGTTGGTACAAAACAGCTTGCAGGAATACGAGACTTTTTTTTTTAATAATCACCTTGAATATCTAAAAACGGATTGGTTGCAAGTAGGATGTCATGGTTTTCCATTTTTGCGTTGTCATATTTTCTCTTGATGGATTTATAGAGATGGAGGAGGTGACCTCCAAGGAATACAGATTTTTAGAACCAATTTCTAGACTCCTAGTGACCCATTCTGGTACGCGTAGATGTGCCTCCGATGTTGACTTTTATGAATATTTGATCACCGGATTTTAAGATAGTTTGTTCGAAACTCTCGAATAGATGATCTCTTTAATGGCGGCAACAACACTTAATATCTACGGAAACTAGTAATCAAATAAAAAAAAAGTAAGAAACATAAATCAATACTTAAATTCATTTTCTTTCTTACGAGAAACATTAATTAAATACTAACGTTAATTACTACTTAGCTATTCTAGACAGAAAAAATACGAACCCAAATAATCCCAAAATAATAAATAAATACAAATAACAAAAATAAAGATACGCCAACCTAGTTCTTTGAATTCCCAGGTCGATTCAATCTCGTAACACATTTCTTCTCTCTATCAAAATCGGTTCTCCATCTCTTGAGCTGGCAAGCAGCAAATCGAAGGTAGCTAAGAGCTAGATTAGGAGTCAAAGTGGGGATTGTTTTTATATTTCTTGTCTTTCCCTCCAATTATGAGATATTTTTAAGTGCTGTCGTCAAGCAGACAATGAAAGGTAGCTGAGAGCTAGATTAGGAGTCAAAGTGATCAGGGTTGTTTTACATTTCTTGTCTTCCTTCCAATTATAACTTACTTTTAAGTTCTGTCTTTTTAATGGCCTGTATAAATTCTTAATCCAGATTCTTAATTTCAATCTATATCACCATCAGAAAAAAAAAAAATGGAGACCAAACAAACGGTTTATTACTCTTTACCAAGATTGACAACCCGATTTAGCCGCGGCTGTTGACCTAGTCGAGCTAGTGGGTCAAGAGTTAACGGGTTGATCGACTAACCGATCCTTCCTTCCTCAGTTGGCTTTGTTTTTCAGGTGGCCGACGCCACTCTTCATGTCGCTTTGAATAACCGACTTCGACTAACCGATCTCCTTGTTATTGGTTCTGTGATTCTATGGGGAGCTTTGAAAACCAATGTGTCAAACACAGTTGATTTTTTGTGTGTGGTAATTTGAAATCAAAACGTGGTTGAACTGATATTAGGGTAATGACTCAAAATTACATTGTCAAATAGCAAGTGGGTACAATTTGATAGGATCGGAATATGCCAAGAGCCCTTCGAAATTGAGTACCTAATGATCTCATATCTTATCAGAAAGGATGCTGTAGTTCAATCAAAGAAACAACCGCCACTAAAAGAAAATCGAATGGGTCATTTTCAATTCTTCAGGAATCTTCGGAACCAAAGGGCAGATTGCTTAGGATATCGTTTGAGCCCATTTTTGTAGTCCACATAATTAATGCCGAATCGAATCGTGTAGCCCTTCGTCCATTCAAAGTTGTCCAACAATGACCAAGCAAAGAACCCTTTCACCCTTGCACCATCCCTGTAATTTTTAAAGAAAAAAATTAATAAATTATAGATTATTACTAATAATTAACAGGGCAAAATATACAACACAACTTGAATTTTCAGTACATACAAAACATTTTTATAGTTGTAAAAAAAATATTATGGTAGAAATTATAGTTGTAAATTTAATTATATCTTGACGATAGAAATCCACTCTCACATTACTCTAAGGATATACAATACACCTTAAATTTAATTCGATCACTTAATTATATCATGATATATCTTACTTGATTGCACTGTTGAGATAAGCGAGATGCTGACGATAGAAATCTACTCTTAAGGTATCATTAAGAGCTTCCGTGAGGCTCATTGTTTCGTTATTGACCTCGCCCATGCCTATGAATTAAGTATAATTGTTTTCCACAGAGAAAATGACAATTTTGTTAATCCTGCAAGCATATATATATAACCTTCTAATTTAATTTATTGAGTTCCAACTATATCCAACACATTGGCTCACCATTTTCTGTAATGTAAATTAGTGGATTATTGTATTTCTTCTTTGTGTGGAGCACAACATCTCTAATTCCTTTGGGGTAAATGTACTGCCAAGATACCCCTGCCTGCACAACGTGTATTAAATCATTTGTTAAACATTTTCTTACTAGAAGAGAACTTCCTTTGCAATCAAGCACCACGTACTATTGGAAGTCAATTTTGTCTGAATTTATGAGTAGAAAAATTATACAAGATACAGTTTCGCATATCTATTTACAAGTTGTTATGATTCAAGTCCTCGAGTTATTGTAACCACCGTAACTAGTTTCCTTTAGTTTCATGAACAACTTAACGATTGATTAGAGCACACATACCTTTGGGCCGATGGGGACACCATTCTTCATAGCTTCGTTATAAATTGCAACATGAAACACATTATAAGTTGCAATCAATTAGTGACAAAATGCATACACATGGAGTTAGGTTTAATAGTGTAGAATGGTAATTGGTTTAGTTTCATTAAATTGCTTACGTGAAGCATTGGTTCGAGAATCAGTCGTTGAGCTTGAGAACAGAGGGTTAGAAGGTGGTGCATTGGAAACATAGAAAGTTGTGTAGTAGTTCAACCCCACAAAATCAAAGGAGCCTTTCAACATCTTGGATTCCTCCTTTGAGAATTTGGGCAATCGCTTCCCCACGATAGCTCTCATCGATCGTGGATAGTTTCCTGTGGCCAATGGGTCCATAAACCTACACGACAAGTGTTCTCACGATAATGATTCAGGTTTCAGATATCCAAAAAATTAGATCCCATTGTACTATGAACAAAGCACGCGCTACGTACCATCCTAGCATGAAATCCATTCCTCGTCGTGTAGCTTTGTGATCTTGCTTAGAATCAGAGAGAGGAATACCCCATTGCGACACATGGGCAATGCCCATCTCACCCTTTTGTGTTGCCTACAGATGAAATATAATAAGCGACATTAACTTCCGAAATTTGAGCATATCACATCGGTTGAAGTACTCTGAAGTATATAGATGGTTTACTTGATATTTCTCTCTGTACAATTTTACGGTCGCAGCATGAGCGAGGAGGAGGTTGTGTGCAACAATGTATGGCTCAGTGGCCGAGTCTCCACCTGTGCAGTTCAAGTTCATCCATGGTGAACATCGGCCAGGCGCCATCATCCCCATGCCATAGGCATACGAACTGTAAGATATGGGCTCGTTGAATGTAACCCAATGCTGAACTCGATCGCCAAAGTGCTCGAAACAAACATCGGCGTACGCAACAAAATCTTTTCTGGGACATACATATATATATATATATGTTGATACATAACATCTTGTGTTAGAAAGGCAACAATGTCGATTTGACTCTTTAATGTCAATAGTTCAAGAGTGATAAAAGGTACACTTACACAACTTTATAGCTAAGGAAGCCCTCATATTCGTTTTCAAGGGCTTGGGGAGTGTCCCAGTGAAAGAGGGTAACAAAAGGTTTGATGCCTGAAAAAAAATAATCATAATTTGAGAAATTAATTTGGTAAGTAGATGATATTATATTAACACTTAATTTTACTACAACCAATCAATTAAGAGCCTTAACTAATCTTAGTTGCTGCGACCGATTAATTAACAAAATACCGAGACATACGATCTAAAGGAGTTAGTCTGGTGATAAACTGGAGATATATTTACCATTAGCCAAAAGTTCATTAATGAGGTTGTTGTAGTATGCGATTCCTTCTTTATTCACTCCACCGTTGAGCGTTCCATCTAATAATACGACACATATGACTAGGTCTGGCTTGATTTGGGTTATAGCAAGGTAAAAAGGATGAAAAATGTAAGCTATGGTAAATATCGTACTCGGTAAAATACGAGGCCATGAGATAGAAAATCTATAAGCATTTAATCCCATGTTTTTCATGATCGCAACATCTTCCTGCAAATATCATAAACGTGATTAACAAAAAAAAAAAAAAAGATAATGAGTACAAAAATATTATATATGATGATTGTTTACCGTGGGCAAAATATTTCAATTATTAAAAATCATCTTTGGCATTATTAATTATTACCTTGTACCGATGATACTCATCAATAGCCACACCCCCGTTGCTCCGATCGGCTATCTTACCTGCCATTTCACCTTGCCATCAAACCCCCAAAATCTTGATTCCAATAACCCTTATGAGAAGGTTAATTATAAAATTTATACACACTCTCTTAATTAATGCTCCTTCAAACAACAACTTGCAAACTTCAAATTTGCACAGACATACTGAGTATGAGCCCAACACAACATTGTGTGAAAGTCCAATATCAACATTGTAGACTCAAGTTTGCACAAGCTTGTTGAGTTATGAGTCAAGCACAACATGGTGTGAAAGCCCAAAATCAACATTCAGTTGGGTCAGTTAAGTTGTTGGGAGTCCACAGTTGTAGGTTTGAGCCTAGGGTTCGGCTCCTAATGGTAGTTAATTAGGATTTTATGGTCGAAATCTATATATAATTACATATACAAATATGGCAAAGCCTCATGTCCCCTTGGCATATGCTATAGTATCACACGTGTTATTTGCACTGTGATATATTTTGATGAATCAGATTTGTCGATTATTGTTTTTTATATATAAATGAATCTTCTGACTCGAGCTACAGAATTAGAGATCGTGGTTCACTCATCAAAAGTTAGTGTACAGTATCATGCCCCAAACTCTGATCAATTCATGATCTAAGTAGTAAAACTCGACAGGAGTACGATATAGTGAACGCTGGCATATAGTGAACGGTGGCGTATAGCGTACGCCACTCAAGTTGAATAAAAGATAGAGAGTCTTCATCCGTGAACTAATCTCGTTCATCATGAACGAGAAAACCACGTAAATCCATTTTGTTCTTACATACTTTTATCATATCTCCGTCTCGATCAAACTACGACACGCGATACGATTTGAAATAATCTATAAGGAAAACCTTTACATAACCAGCATAGGATTTTAGAAGAAGATATATAGAACCTGGGTATTTGGAAGTGTAAGCATCCCACATGCTTGGCCCTTTACCACCTTCAGCTGCAGCGCCTTCATACTGATCAAAACCCCAAGTTCACATACCCGACGAAGAAAATCAATACCCGTTGCCTCTTTTCAAACGTTTTTAGCGACGGCTTATCAAACCGTCGCCAAAGAAAATTCCTTTCTTTCCAATGCTTTTTTACACCATAAAAACAAATGACTTTCTGATTCAAACTATAGGAGGCTTATATGATCACCGACCTGGTAAGCCGACGACGCCGTCCCGAAGAGGAAGCTCGCCGGGAAGCTCGTACGGTTAGCGACAGCCGGAACATGTTCGAGTACATCGCTATTGTGCTTGTCGCTAAACGTCGACGGCGTCAAACTGGAGCTGGACGACGATGTGGCATGACCAAGAAGATAGAGCGAAAGAACAAGAAGAAGCGTGAGATGACCCAAATGACGAATAGTAGTATTTTGAGATAAAGTGATCACCATGATTATTATTGTTCTCTCTTATCGCTTTTAATTTTTCATATTCAAAACCATATGCATTTATATAAGCCGATTTGATCCATATTCCGGCTGAAGATATAAAACTCCATTCCTGCCGCGACAAACGGGCCTCAGATGTCCCTTGCTAGTGCCGTCGTTTTAAAAAATTAGTGGTTAATACTTTTATGCATAAACGATGGGGTGTTTCGGCGTGACAAAATGGAGCAGATAGATCCTGTCAAAATGTCAACTCATTTTTGCATAAACATCGGTAACCTTATCAACTGTCCACGAAATATTAATTTTTCCTAATTAATTTTAACAGATTATATCCTTTTCATTTTATGTCCTAGTTAAAAAATTTATATTAATTATGTTCTTAAAAATGACATCAACTTTGATATATATTTTTTTTTAAAAAAATTGAGACATATCTTATTAATCTACCGTATGGTGGTAAATTTTAGTAATACCTAACGTTATGCCATGATGGTATAGAAAGTCCAAAATCAGTATATAGTTCACCTTTGCTTTACCTATAATCAATGAATTTACTTGCATTTAAGTAAAATTATCCTAGATGGGTAGTTGACATCCCTCCTAAATGTATTGTATTTTCTTGTTTTATTTGGTTTTGTTTTCTTCTTATTCCGGCATGATTCGAGGCTGGGTTAGATTTTCTCCCTTTTGTTTATTAGGTCAGCGGTGTTCTTGTTGGCAGTAAGAGAGAAGAGACAATCAAAATAAAAGAAATAAAATAATTGAGAGTTTCAACTCTTTGTAGAGTAGTCTCGTTCACATCAAATAAAAAAATTATGTAAAACGGTTGTATCTTTGCGAAGCAATTTTGACTATTCTTGTATTAAAATGGTTGTGTCTTTGCTGATTTCATGATTTATCATGTTTGTTAAGTGTTATAATTAAAGATCTACATGTTGAATTATAAATTTGGTAATGTAGGATGTACAGAGAGGGTGTTATCCGGAGGTATCCAAAAACTCTGGGTATGGGGATATGGGTGCAAAACCTCCTTGAATGGGTATGTGTTTGAGTATACAAAAATGACGATGTGAATGATTTAGCGAAATCCGTCTCAAACATGCCTCGTTGACATTCCTTAGATAGGAAAAGAAAAACCAAACTAAACAAAGCAAGGAAACACAATACATGTGGGAAACCTAAAACATATAATAAGTAATTATTGGTTTGTTCTGAATAGTTACAACCGGTAACAATAGTTATTAGAGCTCTGAACTCTCTCAATCTAGTTTTTCTCTCTTTGTTTTTATTGATGGAAGGGTATAATGGAGGCTGGAGATTTGTGATTTGGCTATCTTGGTGATATGGGAAGAGAGACGAGTTGTTAGTGGTAGCGGAGAAGAGAAATTGAGGGGAAAATTTAAAAAATATACATTAATTTTTATTTTTAATTATAAAAAATTATTGTCGACTGCCAAACGTTGAAATTAAAACGTTGAAATTTTTCTGAATTTCCATGTTGTACAAAACCAATGAATTGACTTGTGGAAATTGAAAAAAATTCACGTTTGGATAGGGTTTAGTTTTGTGGCAATTGATGGTGTGGAATTTGGAAAAAAAAGTAAGAAAACGTGGTAATGTCAAATTACTAGGGGGAGGTGTAATATTCTCAATTATCATGAATGTGGTAATTGAAGCCAATTTCCATGGTCCAATTTCCATACCATTTTTCTCTCTCCCGAATATGGGTTTTTAACCCAATTACTTCGTTATGTGGTAATTGGATCCAATTACTGCATTACATTTCCACATCCAAACGACCCTGAAGTAATCAACACATGTAATTTAGTCCCTCAAATGAATAAATCTTAGCCGTCCTTCAACAGCAAATTACAATGTGGGAAAAGGAAAACAACTCTAATGATCCAAAAATTGTTGTATCATTTGCGTTAACCTTTGTATTCGTTGGGGTTGTATCTATACTTTCTTTACATTTCTATGGGGAAAAAGAAACATACTCCAATTTCATATGGTATGCATTCTTCGGAAAGAAAAAAAGAACAAAAAAAAGCTACCAAAATAAAATAGATCATTAATAATTATTGAGGAAGTTTCGAAACCAAATGGCAGAGCGTTTAGGGTATCGTCTCAATCCATTTTTGAAGTCCACATAATTAATGCCAAATCGGATTGTATAGCCCTCCGACCATTCAAAGTTGTCCATCAGTGACCAAGCAAAATACCCTTTCACATTTGCACCTCCCCTGCAACCATAACCACATAAAATTGTGTAAGAATTTTTTTTTCCCAATGACTAAATAAATTCTAAGAGTATGACATCCTAATTAAATTTAATTGTATTCTATACGTCAAGATATTTGGAAACTTAATAAGCATATATCTTACTTGATTGCACTGCTGAGGTATGCGATATGTTGACGGTAAAAATCTACTCGTAGAGTATCATTAAGAGCATCCTTGATGCTTAATGTTTCGTTATTGAGCTCACCCATGCCTGTAAATTGATTATAAAGATAGTTGCGTTAGCCTTGCAAGCGTATTACAAACATGTAATTCATTGATATGAAACTGTCAAAATTTTAGCTACATATATCTAACATATATTTGACTCACCATTTTCAGTTATGTAAACGGGCGTGTTACTATACTTCTTTGTTGTGTAGAGAACCGCATCTCGAATCCCTTTGGGATAAATGTACTGCCAAGATATCCCTGCCTTTGGTCCGATGTCGACACCATTCTTCTCGGCTTCATTAGCGACATGAAAACAAATTGGTTGCAAGTAATTATTAGTCACCACACATATGATAAGTTACGTTTAATTACTAGTGTAGAGGGGTTTAATTAGCTTACGTGAAAAACTGGTTTGAGAATCCGTCGTTGCGCTCTTGGGCATAGATTTTGAAGGAGGAGCGTCGGAAATGTAGTAAGACGTGTAGTAGTTCAACCCCACGAAGTCGAAGGAGCCTCTCAACATCTCGGATTCCTCCTTCGAGAATTCGGGCAATCTTTCCCCCACGAGATCTCTCATCGACGGTGGATAGTCTCCAGTGGCCAGTGGATCCTGAAACCATCCTAGCGTGAAATCGATTCTTCGTTGCGTTGCTTCGCGATCCTGCTTCGAATCGGAGAGAGGGAGGCCCCATTGCACCACCTGGGCGGTGCCGATCTCGCCCTTTTGTGTCGCTTGATATTTCTCTCTGTACAATTTCACGGCGTTGGCATGAGAAAGGAGGAGGTGGTGTCCGACTATGTATGGCTCGGTGGCTGCGTCTCCCCCGGGGCAATTTAGGTTCATCCATTTCGAGCATCGACCGGGAGCCATCGTCCCCTGGGCGTAGCCAAATAAACTGTACGACAGAGGCTCGTTGATTGTGACCCAGTGTTGAACTCGATCTCCGAAGTGCTTGAAGCAAATATCCGCGTATGCAACGAAGTCTTTCCTGGTAATATGTTCATAGTACGTACATTTTCGTTAGCTAAGATAAATTAAAGGATGGATTGGACATAAATTTCGATTGCGTAGTTATGAGAGTGCACGGAGAGGGTACTTACACAACTTTAGGGCTAAGGAAGCCGGCATATTCTCTTTCCAGGGCTTCAGGGAGGTCGAAATGAAAAATGGTTACAAAAGGTTTGATGCCTGCAGGATGGAGATCAATTTTGAGGAATTAGTTAATAAGGTGATCAACCGATGATACAAATCGAACGAACATGATTAACACAATGGATCGATTGCAATTATGTAATTTGTACCATTGGCAAGAAGTTCGTTGATGAGATTGTTGTAGTACTCTATCCCTTCTTGATTCACACCTCCTTCCACCGTTCCATCTGATGATGATGATGGTTGTAAAACAACCCGTTAATTACTAGTAACTAAGTAATTTTGGTAATTAATGATAACTATTGCATGGTGAAAAATGAAATAGAGAGCTAGCAGCTATGATGAATATCATACTTGGTAAAATCCGAGCCCACGAGAGAGAAAATCGATAAGCCTGCAACCCAATACTCTTCATGATTGCAACGTCTTCCTACAAACAAAATTCACAAACACAAGGTCATTTTACGCCCATAGTTTTTTACTTGGAATCATTCGAAAACTTAACGGTGGGTATGAAAGAAACGATAGTACTTTATGTTGTCACTGTTAATTACCTTGTAGCGATGGTACCCATCGATGGCCACATTCCCGTTGCTACCATCGGCTATCCTCTCTGCAAAACCATCAAAAATGCTTGTGTTATGGTTTGGTTTACTTATCTCTTAAAACCGCCGATGGAAAATCTTTTAGATTGGATCAGGTCATCACTGGAATCTGGTTTACCTTTGGGCTTCGAATCAGAATGGTGATCATCAGAGCTCACGAGAAAGCGAGATGGTCGATGCATGCCTGCACCACGAAGACGAATATGCGTTGACGACGAATCGTCTTGTTCCCCTCGATACTTGTTAGTGTAAACATCCCAATTGCTAGGTCCTTTTCCGTCTTCAGATACCGCGCCCTCCACCTGAACCCAAACAAACATAATCTGTCAGCGAAAATCAATACTCGTCGCCTTTTCTTACCATTAGCAACGAACTCCTAGGTCGTTGCTAAAAACGTTTAATGAATAGATACCATTGTGACAATCAGAAAATCTAGTTAAACCATGGTAATCATCATTCATCACTTACCTGGTAAGACGACGACGCCGAACCAAAGAGGAATCCCGCCGGGAAACTCGAACGATTAGCCACCGGAACATTATCGTCGCTAATTATTGACGAGGGCGGCACAGTATTGCCACTGGTCGTCGCTAAAGACGATGTGGCGTGAACAAGAAGATGGAGAGAAAGGAAAAGTACTACTGTGAGGAGTTTTAAGCGCAGGAGACTCGCCATTATTACGGTTCTGTACGTACTCTCCTTGATTTTGTTGTTCTGTAATTCTGTACTGCTCTGGTTTTTTCTTTGTTTTCCGTTCGAAACCGTTAGCAGATATATAAGCGAGTTATTTTACCCATAAGGTCCACGTGCCATGTATGTGGAATACAATATTGATATTGTCGTGGAACTTGACCTGCGTTACGTTACGTTACGTTACGTTACGTACCATAGTATAATATATAAAAATAATCCATTTGTAGCCAACGTCGAAACTCATAGGAAACACGTAGGCAGCAGCACCAACCAATTTTCATCGTGGTCGAAAAACGTGGGTCTAATATTGGTACCTACCTAAATAATGAACACAAACATTCTGTACATAAACCAAGACTAGGAAGAATGTGACGATGGATCAGGACCAACCAATATTTTGAAATTTGATTAAGTAGTACTTAGGTCCCTTTCTATTGGTATGGTACGTAGTTTTTTTTGTCCTTCCTATTAAACCCTCATTTGATGTGTTGTTAGGTAGTTCGCGATAGGTAGTGAGATTGATCACCGTTCGTTCTTGGTAGTCTGTTTCGCATGCGTGTCATGTGAACTGTGGTATCCACTCAATGAATGGATACCAAATAGTTATACTCACTTATAGAGTTTTATGAGAGTCGATTCCTGCTGCATGGGTAAAACTAGCTTAGTGTATTAGGAACTTAGAGGCTGCGATTCATCAATGCTCTAAAAATGACACACATTCTCTCTTCTTCTGCCAATCGCGAAGATCAGAAATATCGTAGATGAAGAACTAACGAAACTTAGTTTAAAATTGTCACAACTGACATCCGAAATTAATCGTGTGCTCTAACTAACATTGTTAGAACAGAAGCGTGTAATCGATAATCCAAACCAACACGAACGAACACAAATTTAACGTGGTTCACTAACACAATGTGTGTTAGCTAATCCACGGGCAGAGGAGAACAAATTTCACTGATTTGAGGAGAGTACAGGTTACAAACCCAAATTCCAAACTGACAAACCAAACAAACTAACCCGACTGACCTTGCTACAGACTAGGGTGATGAAGAGTATTTATAGAACTCTTCTCCTAATCCCAAACAGAAAACCAAACACATTTTCCAAACCTACAAGGAAAAGGTCAACACAAAGCCCAAACACAAACCCAAACAAAATAGACCCAAAACACAAAACAAACTCAAATCAATTCAAGTCATATCCTAACAATCTCCACCTTGACTTGAATTCTCTCTCAAATACCAGATATACCAGACGCAACCAAAGTTGCCAAATGTACCCAGACGCAACCAAAGTTGCCAGATGTACCAGATGTGATCGAAATTACCAAACTCAAACGCGATGCAAATCACCAAACTCAGACACAATCAAAACTTGCCAGACGTACTAACTCCTCAAAATCAATTGTACCAAAATCTCCCCTGCCTCCAAATGCCCATAAGGGCGATCAACAAATCAAAACATGCAGCAAGTCCAACCCATGTTGGGGCTTGCCATGCATAACCAACTTGGTGTTATTTCCATCGATAACACCAACATCATATTTACTTCCAACTCCAAACCTGCAGCTCCAAATCGACTTCTCAATCTTTAAATCCAGAACAAACATCCTTGATGATTGAAAACCCTAATCACCACTCAAGGATAACAACCAAAAATTCTGTCAAACCTTAACCATCGTCCAAGAACAACAAACAAAATTTGTCCCCAAACCCTAACAAACAACCTCACCGCAGCTTGGTGGCAACCGCTCACAAAAGTTCTCCCAAGTCAAACTCCAAATCCATCGAAACACCTAATTTCAAATTCCCAAACAAGACAAAAACTAGCTGCAACTTCAAAGCGCACAAAAGCTAATGAATTGGGATAATAATCACAAATTCACAATTCCATCCAAATTGTCATAATAACCACACATTCCCAAGGCTGCTCCTTTCTTCAACTTTGGGACAACTAATATTGTGATATTAATCACAACTTATCTCCGAGGCAAACCAATGAACGAGTTCGCCACTCAACTTGCGACGCAGTCAAAAGCTTCTACTAGAAACTCAAAGCTAGGAGAAATAAAAAAACTCCACCGCGAACCAAAATTGGAGAACACCAGAAGCGATTCCTCCGCCAACCCAAATCGAAAACTATCTCCTGATACCGCAGCAGTCACCAAAATCCCTAGCCAATTGCCTAGCCGATCGACCAGGCTCTGATACCACTTGTCAGAACAGAAGCGTGCAATCGATAATCCAAACCAACACGAACGAACACAAATTTAACGTGGTTCACTAACACAATGTGTGTTGGCTAATCCACGGGCAGAGGAGAACAAATTTCACTGATTTGAGGAGAGTACAGGTTACAAACCCAAATTCCAAACTGACAAACCAAACAAACTAACCCGACTGACCTTGCTACAGACTAGGGTGATGAAGAGTATTTATAGAACTCTTCTCCTAATCCCAAACAGAAAACCAAACACATTTTCCAAACCTACAAGGAAAAGGTCAACACAAAGCCCAAACACAAACCCAAACAAAATAGATCTAAAACACAAAACAAACTCAAATCAAATTCGAGTCATATCCTAACAAACATATTTACAGATTGCATATCAGCTTTAAATTCTACATTGAGTTACTAACGATCATTACAACAACCATGATCTAGCCCAGAGACTTCTCGTTGACCGAGGTAATCCGTGTTGAACGATGAGTAGCAGAGTAGGTGGTGGTTTTGTTGAATTGATTATTTTAATTTAGTGTGGTCTATTTGTGTAGATACGGATCTTTAGTCTCCGTAATATGTATTTTTAATCTTATCCGAAGTTTGATGCCTTAGAACAGTCAACATATATCTCAACGTATATATAATAATTTTGATAAATAAATTATACATGTATATATAGCATGTGAAAGTAAAGAAGCAAAGAATAGTCAACATATCCCAATAAGTGAGTCGTTTCATGCGTAAGTTGGTCTTCCATGAATTTTCAGTTTTATCTACATTTGAATCCGATCAAACCTGTGCAAATACAAATATTCTAATACAATGAGTGAGTCATTTTAATCTACTGGTATATGACCTCTATCTTCATAAAAAATAACTATCTAACGGCAAGAATTATTCAATACCACTATACTAATAAATACCAATATACGAATACAATAATAAATGTTAAAATAATAAGTTTTATATTTCAAAATAAATGTCGGCAAATATAGGTACCACTACCAGTGCTTTTTGCAAATGTCATAAGGTTTATGTAACAAAATGTTCATATGTTGAAAGATATAGGTAGCGACTATTTTTTTTTTTTTTGTAAATGTCGGAAGGTTTTATAGAAACATTTTCATATTCGAAATAAAATGTTAGAAGATATAACTGTCTATACTTAACTGTTGCATCGCAAGGTTTCAAAGGGATATTTTCAAATGTCGAAATAAAGTATGGGTACTCATACTTTATTTTGTAAATGTCGTAATGTTTTCATATGTCGAACTTATGTCTAAAAGTGTAAGCATCGGCATATTTTGTGAATATTGCTGTAACTTTTAGTGACACCAATATAAATGACATTTTGACAAAATTAACCGACTTTTATTTATAATTGTTAGCCCAAGACTATACCGACATTTTATCATCTTCCAACAATGTAGGAAAATGACGTTGCGTCTTTTTCCCCAAAGTTATATCACAAAGGGAAACAACAAGATACGAAAATATAAGTACATGACCAATTTGCAGGTCAAATCACAAAGGAGGAAGAAAGAAGTAACATTGGACGATCCAATGATTCTACAATATATGGGAAGCCCTATTATACTCACGATTACGCCATAATTCATGACTAAACTTCAACCTCTTTGAGGGTGATGAAAGTCATAAACCGAGCCCAGAATGTCAGATGAAAGCAATGATGCAAACTCCGCAAATGTAGGTGAATCACTTTGAAGCTTATGTGGAAAAAAGGGTTAAAGACACATTTGGTCACTGAGATTACAAAATCGGGACATGTTTAGTCACTAGAAAAAGTTAATATCAAATTTGGTCACTACAATTACTAAAACTGGACGCATTTAGTCACTCGCCGTTAGTCTCCGTCTAACTCCGTTAATGAAGTCCGTTAAGTGCTGATGTGGCAAACAGAATTGCCTAATCAGCCGGATATAACCCAACAAAAATAAAACCCGACCCGCCACGTCATTATAACCCGCCACCTCATTAAAACCAACCCAACCCAACTCATAACCCAACCCTACCCAACTCTTCTTCCTCCTTCCTCCCCAACCCAATTTAGGGTTTTCCCCATCCCATCCAAATTCGCTGAGCAGGGAGAAGATCTCTCCGCCATTAATCTGCCGCCCTTCCTTCATCTTCTTGAAGCTCTGTCTTTTAGTCCAAGGGAGATAATGAGGCTCGACAAGGAAGTCAACAAGGTGACATCGGAGGCTCTTTTCCTCGTCTCGCGCTCCACGGAGCTTTTCCTTCAGTTTCACGCTGAGCCGAAGTCGCCACGGAGAAGAAGCGGAAGATTGTGAAGACTGAACACATCCGAATCTCCGTCAAGAGGCACCGACCGACCAACGATTTCCTCTTAGACTCGCTTCCCGCGCCGCCAGCTCCTCAGTTGCAGAAAGAGGATTCTGTAGGTCGTAAGCGCGAAGTTGCTAACAAGCAGCCACCGACTGGAACGCGCCGGACCGACGGTTTCTTTGCCAAATCAGCGAGCGGTGCTTCCGCTTGATAATCGCCGGTAGATAGCTGATCCTTACCTAGATCTCTATTGTTCTACTAATTAGGTTCTGTTTGGATTGTAAGGTGATTTTCCTTCGAATTCCATATTAGGTATTTGAAGTTTCGAATGCTTGTTTGTTGAGAGTTGATATCGAAGAACAAAGCTGTAAACTCATTTGTTAGTTTTACCAGAACTGCAACTTGACATCTTCATTTTAAGAATACATCAATATCAAAGCAACTATAGCATA